CTAGAGATAGCTGCAAGTAGCCTCTCTTCAGGCTTTTCCAATTGTATATGAATAATCCCTAGTGACAGCCAGAGTAGTCCTGTTAAGCATTTCTTCCTCAGTTGTGTCGTGCGACAAACCAAAACAGAGAATGCTTTCATCCCAGAAATCTTGCATATTATTTGGAGTAGAGGTAGGCTGCACAGGAATTGGCTGCTTGTTTTTTTTCAATGGGCTAAGTATACTTGCAATAAAACGTTTTAAAAATAGGATTTACTATGACTTCCACAGATCTTGGGGGAAGAGGGAAGGTAAAAGGGGGATTGAAATAATAAGGTCACTGTGATTTTTATTTTTTTTAAATAGAATTGGATTCCAATGGCAGGCAGCAGAGCCCTATCCAGACAGCTTTAACTGGCAGCCTTCCAAAAATGAGATGAAAGGTCCTCTGAGTAGTAATTGTCTAAATGGAACAGTCTCTGGTTATTGCGCAACTTCTCCATCTACTTTATTGTACCTTTATAATTAAATGATAGAATTCCTTTTTTTCCTTTTGTGTTTTCCTCCTGACTAGTGCAGGAAAGCACCTGAGCAATATTGCCGTTGGATGCAGAGAGACTCTGTGGCTTCCAGTTTTTTTCTGGGTCACTACAACTCGTATACAAGGAGTTGTGAGCTGGTGGTTGCCAAAGGAGGACACAAGCTCTGCCTTCTCCTGGCCATGAATGGACACTTACCTGCATTTCAAATCCCTGCTTGCTTAGTGGTGGTCAGGTCACTGAGATTTTTTGGTAGGGTGAGGGAATGCTGCTTTTGCTAGAAACAGTGATAAACAGGCAAACAGTGGATCTACTAGGATACAGGGAACACTGTATTTCAAAGGACATTAAGCAGCAGGGCTATTTAATTTACTGAGGAGACTGGACAGACACTTGAGAATCAGAAGCAGCTGAGAGTGTTGTGCTGAACAAACCCAGAGCCAGCGTTTCCTGACTGTAGAAGGCTTTAGGGATCAGGGGTGAAACTCAGGTCCTGAGATGCTAAAAGACTTCATTAGATGCAAAAGCAGAATCAGAGGACCAGCTTTGTAAGCTCTTTCTTTTTAGCTGGCTCTTCTTTACAAGAGTGCTTTCCCTCAGTCCAAGAAGCCCATTCCCAGGAATAAAGATTCTTCAGGGAAGTAAAAGTTAGCAAGACTGAGCCCAGGGTTTGCATGTTCATGTATCTTTAGAATATTCTTCAGGCCTTTGCTCTCTTATGTCTGCCAGCCTCTCCCTGAGTATGCTTCCTTGTGACAATCTGTTTTGATTCATTGCCTATTTATCTAATTGTATTATTTTGAAATATGCACCTGTATTCTATGGGAATATAAAAAAAGGTTAGGAGAAATATAAATAGATCCATCTATTTTATATATGCATTAGTGTCTATTATATATATCCATAAGAAATCCGAAGTTACAGATCTCCAGTTTTTCTAGAAAAACCCAACATACAGGTTTTGAATTATTTGCCAAAAAGTAAAACTAATAAATACAGAATAGAATCACAGAAGTGATCCAGCCTCTTCAGAAACAGAACTGTTTTTTAAAACCACTGGCATAAGAATACTGCCAAGTACCATAGGGCCCAATCCTGTCACAAGCCATTGCCTACAGCTTGTATTAATTTCAGCAGAGTTCATAAGCAGAATAACTGCAGGGCATTTGCAAAGCTCGTGAGGCTCTTAATGACTATTTTTTTTGTTATCCTTTGATAGACAAACCTACCATTCTCAACACTAGAAGTTTTGCCTAGGGAAAAATGTAGGATCTGTCTCAAAATAAATGGATCACCTATATCCCATCCAGCTGAAGGAAAAAAAAACAACCAAACAAACAAAAAAACCCCAAACCAAACCCACCAACCCTTAATAGCATTTACATTCAATTACATATAGCATTACATGCAGTATTTGGGGTCAGAACCTGCATTAGTTTATCCAGCTCCGGAAGAGGTGTGCTAGATTAAATTAGCAGCTGGCAGAGGAAGGAGAATAAAAGGCCTATGTACCAATAACATCCTCTTCTATATGGTATTTGCCCTGGAGCCCTCATTTTATACAGAGAAAGATTTTGTCTATGCAGGAATATGTACCCCAATTAGGGTATTTGATTACCACAGGTAGAGAACACCTGCAGCTCTTCACACCTGCACAGGGCACGCTTGGCATGGGCAACCCACCCCTGTAACCTCTAACTCCAGATGAGTGTCTGCCATGGAAGAAGAACTAGAGAAGCAAAGTGGTGTTGTTGGGATGAACCTAAAATACCTGCCTCATTTTGAACTCGTAGCTGCTCTCAACGTCAGACAGCAACGGCAAATGATTTTACTCCACTTTCATCATATAGCTGTGGATTGTAAAGATACAGTCAGTAGCTGGCCTTAGGTGGGGACAGGGACACTAGCTGACTACCCATGTAAAGCTGTCTCCTTCTAATTCAGTGATTGCAGAATACAAGGATTTTTAACAGATGAGTATTTTAAATTACTTTTTGGTAAGCAGAGACTAAAATCCATTAGTTCTTTTTGATCTAACAAAACATAAAGTGGACAAGCAATCCTGTATCATCTCCAGTTTTAGTTCTGAGCAAGTCAAATAATTTATTTTATTGAATTGCCATTATACTTGCTTTTCTATGTTTTAATCCAGATGTGCCAAAGGAACACACCACTATTGCATCAGTACCAACACGTATGACTCCTTCATCCTGGCCAAGAGTTACAGTACAGGCAGATCCTCTTTCCAAAGAGAACATCAAACAAACTATAATGTTGGTATTCAGCATTACGAGTCTCCATCCTTTAACATGAAGTTTGTTAAACACGGACCAGAAACCCTTAAAGGAGGCAAGGAGTCACACACCCCGATATTTGCACATGCCTCCCTTACGTGCACAATTTGCACTTCTGACCTTGGGGCAGAGGCTCTGTGGAGTGTCTCTCTGACCATCTGCAGACACATATGTCCAGGAATATGTGTGCAGGAACACACACAGTCCCTGAGCCCGGGAATCTCTTGCTACCAGCGGAACGCTGTATATTTAGAGTTAGTTCACAGCACCCACAGTTTCACACACTCATACATACACATGGACACACACAAATTATAGCAGGATCTTTCAAAGACTATCTTCTCTGGCATTTAACCACCCTCATCTTGAGTTGATGCATGTTCTGTATGGCTAACACTTAGCAGAGCTGCCCTTACACGTAACCCAGTGCCAGGCAATTACAGCAGTTTCTGGCAAGAGAAATGGACGTTCCTGAACCCAGGACAAGGCAGGCAGTGAAAGAGAAACGAGTCTCACTTATTTCAAGAAGAAAAACCTCTTTAATAACTGAAACTCCCGTTGCCAAAGGTGAGCTCTGGTGACATGTTCACCAGCTGTCAAGGCTGAATTTCTTTGTTTATGCCCTGAGCAGAGGGAGCACACGTGGCAGCGCAATCCAACCCTCCATGGCCAGCCTAGCACGTCTACGCCCTCACCTAGACGAAGAAGAGAAATTCCTTCCTCAGCACTGAAACCAGCAGCAGGGTGCCAGGGTGCTGACAAGACTTTGGACATGTCCACTTGTCCATTACAAATGGAACTGAAGCCACACCGATTCATTTTATAGGGGTTGTTAAACAGCAGCTAGACATTAAGGGTCACTAGCAACACAGCCAGGATCCCAAGTGGTGATCTAGGTTCCCTGCTATGCCACCTGTTTGTTCTGTCTCAGTGCAAGTCTATGCTGTGCTACTCACCTCTACTGCTCACTTTTAAAACATATGGAACAAAATATATACATTGGCAAGCACACGTCAGTCTATCCCTCATGAATAATTAGCTTTAAGCAATAATTCTGCTTGTAATGTCTGAAGAGGGAATTAACACAGGCTGTCAAGGGAGTTTGCAACAGAAAACACACTTAGAAAACAAGTATTTTTAAAGATTGCATGGTGTACAAAGCAATTATTTCACTGAGATGGAAATAAACTACCGGGGAATCATCTGAATGCAACAGAAGAACCATGGGAGGGGAACATTATTTTGTTGTACGGAGTAACCACGCCGTGGGTAGCAAAGATGCTGTCATCCTTTACTGAAACCCTCATCATTCTGCAAAAACGTACTTCTTTTGGAGACAGGATGTTTAGGCTGGGTTTTATGCATATCACCCATTCCTATACTTTGGATCAAAGAAGCATTTGAGGCGAACTGACCATCACCTTGAACTGGTACCTTGGAGAAAAAAGAAGAAGGACCCAAAGACAAGAAAAAAACAGCACAAAAATGCTACAGGCAAACAGATGCATCTCCACCCCAAGAGAAAATTATTCCTTTCTAACACTCCTAATAAATTAATGTAATGTTTTGTAGACATTGAAAATATTCCAAAATGTAGCTCAGAGTAAACAGCAAGCTGGGTTTCCTCCTGCTCTTTAGCATTTCTCTTTGTTTACTCTCCATTTGAGGACAGAAAAAGCCTACATGTGAGCACTGCAAATGGTGTGTTTCGGGACTGATGGGGCATTCAGTAAGGGAATAATAAAATACAGACATATGTAGCCTCCAATAAAATAATATGTACTTTGCCTGAGTCACCAGGGCCAAACAATTTTTTTTTTAAAATCCAATGTCTGCTTTATTAATATGTTTGATTTGTACGTGGAAAATAATCTGATACCATGGTGACAGGAAGACTATATAAAGCTTAGGGAGATGGAGACAGAAGAGATGTTTCTGGGGTGTGTCTGCTCTCATCCCCCCCTTGCTTTCTTGCTCCCAAATCCCACACCTCAGCAGTAGAGACCCCATGGGAAACTGCCCTGGCAATGCTTCAGGAAGCAATGCCAGCCAGGCCAGTTCACCCATCACACGGAGAGGTACTTGGCTGGAGATGCCAGCTCCCATCTGCGAGCCCAAATGGCTCTGCTCAGCCTCTGCTCAGCTCAGGAGGGCCTGGCACATTCATTTGATAAAAAAATGCCCTTACCTTTGGCAATCAGCTCCTCCAGCTCTTGGTCAAATCCTTGTCGGAGGCATTTCCTCCAGAGCCCCATGTTGGTCGAGTTGTACTGTCTGTTGCACTCGTCGACTGCGCTCATAGCGAAGATCTGCCTCCTGTTTCTTGCCAAGAGGAGTTTCCCTTCCCAGCGGTCCAACCTAGACCTGCTGGCCCTGAGAGGCAGGTTGTTGTTGGAGTTATAAATGAAGCCAGGATCATTTCTCTTAGTGGTGATGCTCTTGCACCTCTCCCTGTGCTTCCTGGCATCAGTTTCGTACCAATGGTCAGAGCAGATCGCCACAGCCAGCATGCCCAGGGCA